GCTGTCCGGAGACACTTCCGGGTCACGTGGCCAGCGTGACATCGCTGCTCTGGCGAGCCAGAGCCGCACACGGAAACGCCGTTTACCTTCCCGCTAGTAAGCGGTCCCTATTTATCTACTTGCACCCGGGGGTGCTTTCGAACTGCTAGGTTGGCAGGCGCTGGGACCGAGCAGCGGGAGCGCACCCCGCCGCGGGGACTCGAACCGCCAACCTTTCGATCGGCAAGCCCTAGGCGCTGAGGCTTTTACCCACAGTGCCACCCGTGTCCCATCACAGGAGCCTACACAACACAAAACACTGTTGCTGTATGTAGGTTTTATTTTATTTGTTTTTTATCTTATATTTTGGAAATGTACATCTGGGTGTGTTTTTCCTTTAATTTTTTTGGGGGGCCCCAAGAGAGTGGGGCCCTAAGCTATAGCTTATTTAGCTTATACGTAAATCCGGCACAGGTCGAAATGACAGAATGTGGAAGGCGGCGTTGGCAGAGAAGCTAACCCAGAGCTGCAGGTCGGCTCGAGGTGACATACTGCACAGGAGACTATGTGTTCTGGTTTTCTTTTATTGCATACACCAACACAGTCCTCAACCTATCAGATGTCTTTTTGGTTGGATTTACTCACCAGCTAAACTACAGCTAGCGCTGTCCTGCTATGAACTGCATTGCTTCTTACTTGTTAATTCCTGTAAGCAAAACTGCAGACATTGTACTGCTTACATGTAGCAACAGGGTTATGCTGCTCCCTTGGGCTACAGAAGTCTTATTACCATAGATATTGCTCCCCGCCCCCTGTGATTCCTTTTTTTGCTTTTGCGCTGGCAGGTGGAGACAGAGAGAGTACTGTGCAAGGCCCAGAGGATAAATGAAATATTCTGGCATGTCCAAATGACAGCGCTTGGCACTAGAGTGCAGAATCATACCCAGCAATTCAGCCTCTTGTCTGTGGGCCTCCATCTCTCTAAGAACTGGGAGACACAAGATCTACCCACCCTGGAAGAGTGGCAGATGAAGGTGATGGACTATATGGAATTGGCGGAAATGACTGGCAGAATCCGAGACCAGGGAGAAGAGTTGGTGGAAGAAGATTGGAAGAAACTTAAAGACTATTTGCAGAAATATTGTAAAATTAATGAATGTTAAAATGATGTTGGATTGAAAATAAGTGGTATTGGTAACAAGGCTAATAAGAATATGCAAATATGGATTGATAATGGATGAAAATAAATAGTTATAATAGGTTAAGATATAGAGTTAAGATAAATGAAAGAGGGTAAGGATTTGCTGAATTGATTATGTAAATGGGAATACAAAAAAGGGGAGGTGTGAGGAGGTCAAGGAAACAAGTAAATGAGCTTAAAGACATCGAAAAATGGATTTATTTTTTTTTTTAATCTTTTTTTAGTCACTATTTTTTTGTATTTGGTATTCCTCTTTTTTTCCTCTATGTATTTTTTGGTAATTTTTGTATTTTTCTCTGTATTTTCCCCCCTCTATTCTATGTTTTCTTTTTATTCTGTATTTCTTTTATTCTGTAAACTTGGGTTTTTTTTGTAAAATGCTAATAAATATCTTATATATATATATATATATATAAAGAACTGGGAGAGAACTGGGAAGCAAATAGAAGGTACTCTTACATGCCACCCCAATCTCTGAGCGGTGCAAGATTTCTGGGATTCCAGGCATTTCCCCAGGGTCTATGTTTTCTTTTGGAAAATGAGGCACAGCGGAGACTATGTTGTCTTTATGGCCTATGTACACATGCAGAGATGCTGGTGGCGCTGTGGTCTAAACCACTGAGCCTCTTGGGTTTGCTGATCAGAAGGTCAGTGGTTTGAATCCCTGTGACGGGATGAGCTCCTGTTGCTCTGCCCCAGCCCCTGCTAACCAAGCAGTTTGAAAGCAAGCCAGTTCAAGTAGATAAATAGGTACCACTGCAGCGGGAAGGTAAACGGCATTTCTGTGCGCTCTGGCTTCCGTCACGGTATCCCATTGCTCCAGAAGTGGTTTAGTCCTGCTGGCCACATGACAAGGAAAGCTGTTGTGGACAAACGCCGGCTCCCTTGGCCTGAAAGCGAGATGAGCGCCGCAACCCTATAGTTGCCTTTGACTGGACTTAACCATCCAAGGGTCCTTTACCTTTACCTTTACCATACAGTGGTGCCTCGCAAGACGAAATTAATTTGTTCCGCAAGTTTTTTCTTCCTGCGAGTTTTTCGTCTTGCGAAGCACGGTTTCCCATAGGAATGCATTGAAAATCAATCAATGCGTTCCTATGGAAACCGGCTTCAGACCAGGTCCGGGGACAGTCTGTTCCCCCGACCTCTTCTGAAGGCTGGGGGGGGGGGACAAGGGCTTTTCTTCCCACCCCCAGCATTTTAAAAAACCCCGGAACAGCAGAGGACTTCAGGACCTCTTCTGAAGGCCGGCGGGGGGCAAAAGTCTTTGCTCCCCCCCGCCTGCCTTCAAAAGCCGTCCGGGGTAGCGGGAAGCGCTTCCCTGCTATCCCAGACCGCTTTTAAAATGCTGGCGGTGGGGAGCAAAGCCTTTCGGCCCCCGCCGGCCTTCCTGGACCTCTTCTGAAGGCCAGAGGGGGGGAAAGGCTTTGCTCCCCACCACCAGCATTTAAAAGAGGTCCCCGGAGATTTCCCTATGGGCTTTCTTCTTGCGAAGCAAGCCCATAGGGAAATTCGTCTTGCGAAGCAACTCGCAAACGGAAAACCCTTTCGTCTTGTGGGTTTTCCGTCTTGTGAGGTATTCGTCTTGCGGGGCACCACTGTATATCCAACCTGAGCCTATGATGGAGGGCTTCCCAGCACCACACTCCAAAATACCCTTGCTTCACCCAGTGCTACGGCAGCCTTGGAGAACTCAGCCATTGCTCTCAAACATTGCTCTCCAGCCCATTGCTTTGCTATCACCATTGCATAACTCCCAACTACAATCATAAACTCTCATCTAAAACACCAGCCTTGCTTTTTAAAACTAACTCTCAGTTGAAAGAGGGAGGGAAGGCCACTCATTTGCAAATGAGATTTGTCATTGATACTTACTTGTCCTAATCGCTCCTTATCTCCAGTCTATCGCCTCACTGGCTTAGTTCTGGCTTAATTAGCTTTTGACACTTGTTGGTTCCGGAGGATTAGGAGCATCTAGTACACAGCTCAAATACACACATGGGTCAACTAGCCTATCTTAATTAGCTTTTGACATCCCAAGCCTTAATTAAATTCTAACATCTACTTGCCCGAGAAACTTAGCACCCAAGAACTCATAACAGTATATTAAATCTATGCTGGATGGCTTTGGCTGTGACAAAAACGAACATGAGTTTTATCTTTTATTTCAGCAGCCTAGAAATTAGTCTCTGGTATGCAAAGTGACTAAGGGATGCGGGTGGCGCTGTGGGTTAAACCACAGAGCCTAGGACTTGCTGATCAGAAGGTTGGCAGTTCGAATCCCTGCGACAGGGTAAGCTCCCGTTGCTCAGTCCCTGCTCCTGCCAACCTAGCAGTTCGAAAACACATCAAAGTGCAAGTAGATAAATAGGTACCGCTCCGGCGGGAAGGTAAACGCTGCTCTGGTTCTCCAGAAGCGGCTGGCCACATGACCCAGAAGCTGTATGCCAGCTCTCTCGGCCAGTAAAGCAAAATGAGCGCCACAACCCCAGAGTCGTCCGCGGCTGCACCTTATAGTCAGGGGTCCCTTTACCTTTACCTATGCAAAGTGACTGTAACTTTTATTTTTTATTTTTAAATATTTTTATTGAGTTTCTTTTCTTAGATTCATATACACAAGATAAAAATAAGAAAGTACAAGAAACAAATACAAAGAAAGATAATAGAAAAAAAGGTTATTTCAATCCAACTTTCAATAGTTTTTTCAATATTCCAAATGGAATTCCCCACATCCTCCAGACTCTGCGTTCTTTGCAATAAAAGTTTCAGCAATTTGTTACCTTGTTTCTTAACTTACTGTATCTTTCAGTTATTATGTTCCCAAATTCACAATCTCGTATCCCAACTTTGTTCATTTAAAATTAACATAATAAAGTTGATTCATATTACCACCTCTTTTTTCTTGTCTTAATTTTCAGTTTACTTAAACAAGTTGCTAAAGCAAAAATTTCCTAATCGTGCACAAAGTGACTGTAACTTTTAAAGGTATTTTCCTCCTCCACCACCCAAAAGTCAAAGCGGAGCAATTTCCCCTGACCCAGGATCCAAATTTGACCCTAGGGGTGTTCAGAACAGCCAGCTTAACACAATGCCACATTCCCACCACCGAATAACGTCAGGCGTAGTGGAAAGGTTTGAGCAGCGAGCTGCGTTTCCCAGTGTCTCTCTGTCAGTCAATGAAAGCAGGAGATGACAGTGGTTCCTTGGTTTCTCTAAGCTTCCCACCCTCAGATTTCAGCGTCCTTTCTTGGGTTCCATGATCGCTGCAGATGTTGACAGCAGTCTCCTTAATACTGCTTCTTAACTGTATGTCAGTTCAAAAATTACTTAGATAAAATACATATTTTGTTACACACAAATGGCTTTAGATACCTATTAGGTCCATAAATTACCATATAGCATATATTCAACACAAAAAACAGCGACAATTTGTTGTTGACAAAGGACAGCTGGACATATAAAGGGCCCCATTACCTTCAGGAGCTTAGGGCCTCATCAAACCTAAATCCGGCCCTGAAGCCATGACTGTTTAAAGTGGCATGATACTGCTTTAAATGCACAGTGCGGATGGATAAAGAGGATTTGGCACATGAGGGCGCAACGCCGCTCCCCCTCCCTCTTGTGCTGGACTCTGCTTCGCCACCCTCCCAAAAGACCTGAAAATGCCGGGTAATTCTAGACATAAAAAAAACAAAACTCCTGAGATTCACCAGAGCTGCTCCCCCCACCCCACTCCGAATGACACATTTTGTGTGCAAAGCCCACCCAGGAACCAGAATGTTTGGTTTCAGGACTTGGCAACTCCCGTTTGCTTACATACTTGGAGACAACGAAACGTGTGCCACAATCCTACGATGTCTTGCTCAAGAGCAACTTGCACCACCTGCCAGCCTTCTGCTTGAAATCATTTTCAGTGCCTTTAACAGCTTCGTGACAGGAGGACAGACAGCGGATTAAAGTCTTTCCTTATCACTGCATGCTCAGGCTGGAGAGAAAGAGCCTTCGCCAGCTGAACTCCTGTCACTTCCCTCTTAAAGGCACTGCTCCCCAGATGAGGTTGAAAGTCGACCACCTCACAGGAAGGACCATTAAATGACAGGAATGGCTTGGAGGATTTGTTTTCTGGGAAGAAAAGCCGAACTTACTGGGGGGAAAAGAAGAGGGTTTTAATTTGGAAGAGAGCATTTGTGCGTGGAAACATCCAAAGGGCACCATTGCAGCCTGGCAATGAAAACGGTGCCATTCGCCTAGTGTCTGGGTGTAACTGGTAAAGCAGCACAACTTGTGCCAATTTTCCATTTAGTGGGTGGGTGAAAAAAAATATGACTGTAAATTGCAGCAGCAGCTCAAGGTTGTACAGCAGGAAAAGTAGCAAGCCGGAGGATGAGGCAGAGAGCTGGGCCCCCAACCTGTCCTTTGGCTTGCTTCATGCAGTTCCAGGATGCTTGCTTAAAGTTGAAAGAGTTGGGAAGAAATGTTAAGCATGTGTATCTACACGCTTGAACTTTTCGAAAAGAAGATTCCTGTTTCAGAGGAGAAGTGAGGCTATAGTGTCCATTATTTTGTTGTTGTTGTTGTTTAGTCATTTAGTCGTGTCCGACTCTTCATGACGCCACGGACCAGAGCACCTCAGGCACTCCTGTCTTCCACTGCCTCCTGCAGTTTGGTCAAACTCATGCTGGTAGCTTCGAGAACACTGTCCAACCATCTCGTCCTCTGTCGTCCCCTTCTCCTTGTGCCCTCCATCTTTCCCAACATCAGGGTCTTTTCCAGGGAGTCTTCTCTTCTCATGAGGTGGCCAAAGTACTGGAGCCTCAGCTTCACGATCTGTCCTTCCAGTGAGCACTCAGGGCTGATTTCCTTAAGAATGGAGAGGTTTGATCTTCTTGCAGTCCATGGGACTCTCAAGAGTCTCCTCCAGCACCATAATTCAAAAGCATCAATTCTTTGGCGATCAGCCTTCTTTATGGTCCAGCTCTTACTTCCATACATCACTACTGGGAAAACAATAGCTTTTACTATACGGACCTTTGTTGGTAAGGCGATGTCTCTGCTTTTTAAGATGCTGTCTAGGTTTGTCATTGCTTTTCTCCCAAGAAGCAGGCGTCTTTTAATTTTGTGAAGATGTATATTAATAGTGAAATACAATTAAGAAGAAGTATATTTTTGGGAGGCCCCCCAAGAGAGTGGGGCCCTAATCTATAGCTTGTTTAGCTCATACGTAAATCTGGCACTGCATGGCTCCCCCCCCCAAAGAATCCCAAGAGCTGTCGTTTGTTAGCAGTTCTGAGGGTTGATAGAAGACCTCCATTTGCCCTGAGAGAGCTACATTTCCCAGAGTCCCCTAGGAAGGAGGATTGAGCCATGACCAACTAAGCCACTCTGGGTTGCTCCCTTCTCTTCCCCCACCCTGTCCCAGACTCGGTGCCTTTAAAAGTTTGTATGCATTTGTGTGTGCACACACACCAAACCACATTAGCTAAGTTTTCATTCTCTAATCCAGAGACTTCCTATGTCGGAGGGCATACAGCAGAGTGGTTTGTGTAAAATTTCCATACAACCACTGGATAAATAAATGGGGATTCAGCATGAACTCAGAATCACCCTGAAAACTGAGCTCTCTGTCACTTTTTCCAATTACAAGTTCTCACAGTGCATCTAAAACAATGTCAAGTTACCACCTTTTGCTCCTTAGGAATTGATCTTTAAAGTACTGAGTCTGAAACAGACCTGATGAAATCAGACTTTGCTATTCCCCTCTCTTTCACCTGTTGAGAGTTGATCTCCTACTGCGATAAGTCTTATCCCCTACTTCTTACTCTGATGAATATACACCTACTCTTTCTTATCTCCACTCTTGCAAACAATGTCTTCTGTTAAATCCGCTTTACCAAAGAATACCTCAAATAAGGTCTTATCCACTCTTACCTTTCACCCCACGCTTTCCAGGCACAGGTAAGAGCTTTAAAGCTCCGTGTCCAAATGACAGTCTTTTTTTGCCCCGGAGCCTTCCGCATGAAAACCTGCTCTTTAAAGTTGAAGCACTACAAACAGCAATTTGAGTCTTCTGTGGATCGCCATTTGCTCCAGTTCAGCTGTAAAGAGTGGGTTTTTGCGAGGAAAGCTCCCGTGCAAGAAGCAGGGGAAAGCCCTAAGAGATGTTTGGATTATAATGAGAGAATATGGGTACAGAGTATTCTACTTCTAAAATTCTAACCCCAACAGAGGACCCTGTCCTGTTTAGAAAATAAGCAGAAATCTGGCGTGTAGTTGCAGATTCTTCCATCACACTGGGGCAATTATTTGGTTAAAAGCAACAACCCCTGCTCAACTGTTTCTTGGTGGAGGTACAGACACCCTTTTTTATGCCAGAACTTTATAAATTGGGATTAGAGGAAAGCAGATGATCAGGAGCCCCTCTCCACATAGGATCCACTCTGAATTTGCAAGCACGAAGTTCATGTAAACGACATTCTTCAAAGCAATTAACAAATCAGACAGAGCTCAGGTTACTTACCCCTGCAGGCCCCAAAGATCATAGTTCTCATAGCCAAGGTGGGTTCCAGACCCAGTTTGGAATAAACCATCCACGCTCCGAGAACGTTTCTGAAATATGGAGCTCTTGCACCGACTGGTGTGACAGGCAGGGTAGATTGTGAATGGAAGGTCCTTCATGGGGATGTCTGTGGTGCAACACCCAGCCGTGTGTGGAAATGCAAGCTGTGGGTGAGCCAAAGAGTAAATCAAAACTCCAGGGAGATGTCAGCATGAAGGATTAGACTCTGTCCTTCGGAGAAGCACCATGGAAAATCTCATGTAGCTATACAGGAGATCAGTCAAGGCAGCCACACCAGTCACAGCTTCCAAATTTCCCAAGGTAGAAATGTGCCACCAGCTCTGCGTTTTATAAGCTATCGCTCTCTGAGGAGATTTTCCGTCACCATTGCTCCTTCCTTTTCCTTCTTTCAGGGATGCTGGATAAAATAAGCCAGCAATGTGAATACAGTCCAGTCCTCTCCAGCTGCTCACTCCTCCACAGATAGTCTTATGTCATTCCTATTACAGCTCTATGTATCTGATCTCCTAATTATGTGTTAGGCTCTCCAGACTGGGAGCCTCCTATGGGAGGTGCTTCCCATTCCACAGGGCCACCTTCCCATTCATTTTAGCCCCTTTTAGGTGGGAGGTGCTGAAGCCCAGAACTATGAGCCACGTGGCCTCCCCTCTAAGATAGCTTCTGCCCTCAGGTGCGGCAGAAGTTACTGCCCCATTTTCAGTGTTGGGAATAAGATTCACCTGCAGATCCAATCATCTTCTATACATGGAATGAGGGCAGCATCTTGCCCTCCATTTCAGGCAGCAAAGGTTACTGAGCCAACCCTGGGAGTCCTTTTTTGAAGCTACCTGGATCTGTGTATTTGCCTATATAAAGAGCCCAGGACAAATGGGAGAGGACAGAAAGAGGAATATGAGGAGAGAAGTATTTATCAGCTGAGATATGCTTAACTGGACATTGAAGAGATTTAGCAGGAAAAGTGTCTCTATCAGCTTTATTCCATTTGCTTTTTTATTTTTTAATTTAAATAATAATAATAATAATAATAATAATAATAATTTTTATTTATACCCCGCCCTCCCCAGCCAAGGCCGGGCTCAGGGCGGCTAACAAGCAATAATAAAAACAAGCTGAATGATTACAACTTAAAAACAAAATTAAAATACAACATTAAAAATGACTTTAATATAAAGCTAAGTCATCTGAGCAAGAAAAGGGATAGATTAGTAACTATCTAATGTAACAACCTGTGACACGTGAGAATAAATTCTAGACTCGGGTGTTTTCTTCTGGTAACTCAATTTCCCTACATCTCATTTACTACTTTTGTCCCCTGCCTCTCCTTCAAGGAACTCTCTCAGCCGTGTGGGTGAGGCGCTGTTACCCCATTTTATTTTCATAACAACCAGGTGAGCTTCATGGTAGCGCGGTGATTCGAACCCAGGATTTCCTGGTTCACACCCAGCCCATAACATCACATTGACATAGCGAGATATTTTTACGTTCACCCCTCTTCTCTGAGCAGTGAGAAGTTCCAGAGCTACACAGCTTACCCAAGTTTAGTTTCCCTTGGGAGGAGGTCACTGAAGGTGTATACTGTTTTGTAATATTTGAGTTGTTTACAGGTTGAGCATAGATACAGTCTGAGCACAGAGGAGGATGCAACCCTCCAAGAGACTGCTTAATCCTCACGTCAGATCTAGAGGAGACAGAAGTCCCCATTGATAGCTTAGGGACTATCCCATAAACTCCTAGTTTTCTCCTCTATCTTGAAATTGAAGCTTGTTTGGTTTCACAATTCTGCCTTCACAACAACATGGACACATTCCATCCATTAAGCGTTTTCTGAGTTCCCAAAATATGAATTATCCAGAAGCTAGCAATCTGCAGGAAGAAAACTTTTGTTAGCGACCCTCAGCAGGAAGTAAGCATCTCTGTCTCCATTTTTGTAACCCCTGCTGCTTAGGGGATATGCATTTCATTCTAGGACTGTAGTAGAAAAGGGAGGGTGTGTTGCCAGCATGTCTCTGGAGGTGCACAATGCAGCAATCTACTAAAGACAGACAGGCTCGGGACTGGGTAGTTCCTTGATGGAAGATAGCTTAAGAACACCATGCTCAATCCCTGTCACTTGTTAAACGAAAATTCCCCAGCTCACTTGCATTGTCAAACAAAGACACCAGTATAGGAGCAAAACAGCAGCCAGTAGGCCTGATCTTTATTTTGCAACAAGACTTCAAACTACCACATGGAAGAAGCAGAAAGAACCCCCGAACAAAGGATGGCTCTTCTTTTTATAAGTTTCTCAACTCAATAACACCCTTAGTAAAACTCATATATGGTCATAAGGTAAAAAAGTGGTCCCCTGCCTACGGCCAATCGGTCGACTCAGGTTTGCGCCATCTACTAAGAGGCGGGGCAGCGCTGTCCAGGACTTCCAGTCACGTGCCATGACGAATGCTCTGGCGCCGCACCAGCGA